TTTTTTTTTGTAGAAAAACCATGGTTAATTTTCATAGGGGTTGTTTAAGCCTTTTCTCTGAAAGTGATGTTACTGTTAAGCAGGTACAGTTATATATATATATATATTTATCTTGGTTACATACGGTTCCAAGTGGCCTTTAGGAAAATGTCACATTCTATTACTTAATGAATTTAGTGTTTTCAGGTTGTTAATTAATCATAGGCTACTTTATTATAACATCATTCTTAATTGTGTCCATATGGCAGTTTGGCAGCTATTTAATCATCATCCAACTCAAGTGACAAAGCCCAAAAGAAACATTATGTGCGTAAAACCTTCCTTTGTGCGGAAGAATAATACAAACATAAAAAATGAGTTTGACTGAATGGTTTAATTAAAAATATCAGTCTCTGAGATTTCAGAAAACAGGAAATTTTGTATGTCTCTGTTCACAGTTCTCGTTTTGTAGCTGGAACAAATAGGTATTTTTTCTTAACACTGTCACTGTCAGAACATTGTTCTTTACAATGAGCCCATAAAAACAATAATATAAATAAACAATAACTTTATACATTCCCCTCCCTCAGAGAAAACCAAAGTTGCACAAATCTGAAGGCTTTATTCACTGAGTTGTGGTAACAGGCAGGATATAAGGGGAGGAATAATCAGCAAATTTACTTTTATTTAAATTTACATATTCATAATCTGTAAGATGGCACAAAGAAAATCTTAAACCGCTTAATGTTGCGTATGCTAAACTGGTTTGATCTGTGACAGACATAAACTTTAATTAAATATCTTACTGTACATCATTCGGTACTTTATTCACTACAGCCTTTCCAAGTCTCCAAGACTGGGCTTTGTGAATATAAAAAAGGGTTATTATGATCATTTAAAACATATCAACTTTGTTTTATTGTTATATTGTTTATGGATTTGGTGTTGTAAGTTCATTTTTTGTGTGTGTTTTTATGTTACTTTGTACTATTTTATATCCTATGCAACAGAGTGTATCAGAGGGGATTTAGAGGGATGTTCTTTCCAGAGTTTATTGAAAAAAAGGCTCTAATAAATTTTATATAACATATAACCTTCAGTGTCTGGCTGAGACTGAGAGAAGAAGTTATGAGAGCTTAGCAGGGGAATGTGAGAGGATTTTGTTCTGGATCAGCGCTGATTGTGAGCAATGAAAACTAAAATACGCTCAAAAGCCGAGGCGTAACGTGTGCTGACAGACATTTTAATTTCTGTGGGAAATAGCCACACATATATCTCCCGCTATTAGGTGTTTTGTTTTGTAGAGCTCTCCTCAAATGTTTGTGAATGTGTGTTGTTTGCTTGTTTGTAGTTTGTCTTCGTTAGCACGAGCGAGTGGGAACCGTGTGTTTGCTGTTTCTCAGTGCCTATGGAGTCTTTACATGCTTTTCCTGTCTGCTTCTCAGAGAAAGACATGAAAGAGGAAAAGGATTGTGGGTGGTGATTGTTTATCAAGAAAGTGTGTTTCTGAAAGAAAAAGAAAATTAGTGATTGGCAAAACCTCTTTTGTGAGAGAAACAATGCCGAGCAAAGCAGTCGAAGACAAAAGCATTTTTAAGATGTTCAGTCATGTTTGTTTAAACGCTTTTAATGGTAAATGGTCGAGTTTACATTGATAAACAAAGTGTTAGAAGATCAGTGGTTCTCAACTGGTGGGTCGTGACCCAAAATGGATCACAGATCCATTATGCTGTGATAGTTATGGGTCACAGACAACGGGGGGGAAATGCAACAAATCATGCATAGTTTTATCATAAATATAACATATTCCACCATTACTGAAAGAGGTATAAAAATACACTAAAGCATCAGTCTGGCAATGACAGTTTTTTTATTATACCATAATAAGTAAGAATTGTTCACCCAAAAAAATCCAAGATGTAGATGAGTTTGTTTCTTCATTGGAAAAGATTTGGAGAAATTTAGTAATGCATCATTTGCTCACCAAAGGATCCTCTGTAGTGAATGGGTGCCGTCAGAATGAGAGTCCAAACATGACTCCAGTCCATCAATTAACATTAAGGTGTTTTAACTTTAAACTGTTGCTTCTGGTCAGAATATGAGTCTCCATAATAAATCCCCCAGTGAAAAAGTCGATCCCCTCTTGTCCTCTTACATCAAAACATATTTGTTTAGAACTATTTGACTCATTTCACTTGTAAATTGTGCTTAATCTGTCCATTTTTCTCTCCTGATTCAGACAAGATGACTTTTTCACTGGAGGAAGCAATATTATGGATAGAGGACTTGTATTTTAGCTGGAAGTAATGGTTTGAAGTTAAAAACGTCTTAATGAATTTCTAAACGCAGCTTTTCACTTCAAAAGATGTTGACTGGAGTTGTGTGAATTACTTGTGGATTATTGTGCTTTTATCAGCTGTTTGGACTCTTATTCTGATGGCACCTATTCACTGCATAGGATCCATTGGTGAGCAAGTGATGTAATGCTAAATTTCTACAAATCTATTCTGATTCTGGTTGAAATATTCCTGTATTATAATCTTAGTTGAAGTAAAAATAGAAAGCAACTTCCATGAACAGGTTGAATAAATTTATTTTGCCTATAAAGGAAAGATAAAGGAGAAGTCAATCATTTTCAAGAAAAAAAAAATGACAATGATTTGGTCAGAAACCGTTGTCATGTCCCATATGAAAAATGGCCACGCCATGACAAGCTCATCAGGCCAAAGCTAGGAAACGATTTAGTGTAATTACAGTGTAAACTGTCCCTGTTACTCAACAGACAGATAAATAAACAGAGACGGTCTGGAAGGTCAGGAGTGATGGATGACCATGTGGAGACAGAGAGACTAGACAACACTCTCAATCTACGCTCACACAAGAGTGTGTATGTGTGTGTCCAGTGTTTCATCCTTTGTCGTGCAAGATGGGAGCACTTGTGTGAAAGCATCCGGGCAAATGTGTGTATTATAAATCACGTCTGATTGATCTCGGACACGCTGCTCTGTTCTCATCACTAACAGCGCAGTAGCTGTGGTTTTACGTGTGGGTGTGTATATTAGTGTATGTTTAATCAGCGCAACAATGGGAGTCCACTGCAAAACAGGATACCACTGTTTCCTGCAGCAGAGACTGTCTCTGGGATACACACACAAATTTACACACCACCTTAAGACTGTCTAGGTTGCTAACTATACTCTCAGTGACATTTTCAATGATTCCCATATACAATTGGTCAATAACTAGTTTTGTCTACACTGGAAACGTGGTACTCTATAATTGGCACCTTAAGGATCTTTTTATTTCTACTTGATTTAACCCTTAAAAAGACTATTATCGGTGTAACCAAATGTAGTCAGGTTGATTCAGTCATATTAAATATACAATTTATTTTAAATATTAATTGTATTACAATTTTATATTCAATT